TCCCATGTGGGTGCAGGGCCCTCCACTGCCCTCCCAGGCCACAGCAGAGAGCTAGACTGGAAGAGGGGCAACCAGGACAGAATCCGGTGCCCCAACCAGGACTAGAACCCGGGGTACCGCGTCGCAGGTGGAAGATTAGCCTATTGAGCCACGGCGCCGGCTGGAATGCTTTCTTGTCAGAAGACTACCTGAATTATTCTTGTTTATATGATAAATTATATGATTGACTTTTGAATCATAAATGAATATTATTTCTAGTATAATCCTGTTTCTAATGACATATTAGCTTTTTAAGTTATTGTGGGATTCAATTAACCAAAATTTTATTATGACTTCTCTACATATTTTTCATGGGAGATATTAGCCTTTAATTTTATATTCCCCCAGTATTCTAGCCTAGTGCTTGTCTAGTGCTTGTTTTAAGATAACGTTGGTCTTACTTTATGAATTGTGAAGTACTCTTCTTGTTTTATATTACATAAGAATTTGTGTTTTGTAAGGAACAGTAGAGACTATGCTAAATATTTGTGGACATATCTGTATATGACAATTGGCTTTACACGTGTTAATTTTGATTTTTTTAAATTTAACTTTCCTATATTTTGGTACACTGATTTTTAAGATAATAATTATCACTCCATAGAATATTTAAATGAGACATTTAGAATATTCCATAGAATATTAAGATGAGAAAAACATTAGATAGAGTGCTTAACGTTGATTGTCAGAGTAAGTATTAAATCAATTCCTCTTTTATTTAAAATTTTCTAACTGTAAAATAATATATATCTATCCAACTATCTATCTATCTATCTATCTTCCTTATGCTCATCACCTAAGACATGGACTTACATAACACATAATTTATTTAATTTTATTTTGATATTGCCTATTCACTTCAGAACTCTTAAGAAGTTTGACTTTAGAGCCGGCTCTCTGACATAGAGTTTTAAGCTTCCAACTGCAGCAGCAGTATCCCATATGGGCACTGTTTTGGGAGCAGATACTCCACTTCTGATCCTGCTCCCTGCTAATGGCCTGGGAAAACAGTGGAAGATGGGCCAAGTCCTTGGGCCCCTGCACCCATGTAAGAGACCCAGAAAAAGCTCATGGATCCCGGCTTTGGATCAGCCCAGTTCCAGCCATTGTGGCCATTGGAGTAGTGAACCAGCAAATGGAAGACCTCTCTCTATGTCTCTCCCTCTGTCTGTGGCTCTGCCTCCCAGATAAAAAGGTTGACCTCATAGAATTATATAAATAAGAAATTGGTGAGAAGATTTACGTCATTTATTCTGGTTTCAGTTTCATTTGATGCATGCATTAGTGTTTCAGATATAATCAGTAAATTCCTAAGAAGAAAAGCTTGAATTTGAATGAGAAAGATTCCATCTTTAATTATAGTTCCATTGACATAAGATTTTGGGGGACATTACTTAACATAGACTCAGCTGCCACATCTGGAAGAAATTTGGATTAAAATACACTTTTTGGTTATGTAGGGGTTTAATATGAAAGCATATATGAAAGTCTGAGGGGGAACTTTTGGTACCTTTTCAGAAACTAAATAATAGGATTTATTTTGTCTATAGAATTGGTTATAATAGTAATAATCATACCATTACTCTATTTTACATATTACTTTTTGAGTTTAACATGCCTCATTTAACAAATTCTGTTAACTACTTTATTTATAACAAAATAAGGTCTCTTGATAGGTAAAATCAGTAAGAGGATAAGAGCGATCTACTAGTTTGGAGCAAGTATTTTAAATAATCTTAGGAGCGAGTACTAAGGAGATTTCAGACAGGTAGATGAGCAATGATAGTGATGGATGATGGGTTCAAATGGATGTCTGAGAAGACAGATGGCATTATGGTTACAAGAGTTTGGCTCCAAGAGTTAATTAATTAAGACTTCATGTCAAGGAAGAGAGTGAAGATAATGCCAACTAATGGAGTCTGGAGATAAGTGTTGGGAGTGTAGTCCCATGAAGTTCTGGTACAGAAGAAAGAATTCTAGTTTATAAAGAGTTGGAGCTGAAAATGAAGATAAACACTTAAGTCTAGGTATACAGTACAGAGTGGCCCTATCTACAAAGAAGAGGATAACAGGAAGTTGCTTTTGTCATAAGAAAGAAGACAAGAATGTAATTACAGAAATTTACATTTTTTTGGTGCCTTCTAAAAACAAAAAGCTAACACTACAGGTTCTCTAGGTACAGGAATAAGACAGGAGAAACTCCTATCTTGGGGCAAATGTGTTAGAGACACAAGCCACAAATAATTACACATGCATAATAAATTTTCCACTAATGACAGGTATTAAAAACAAAAAAAATGTATGGCAAGATAAATGGAAAAGGTGTGATGGAGAGTGGATGTTTTCACAGTATGACTGGAGCAGGGATTAGACAGAGGAGCTTGATAGGTCAGGGTCTTTAGAATGTGCCTACTACTGATTGATTTATGCTGTTGCTCTACTTCCCTGCCTACTTCTCTTTACTGGATTTTACCTAAATCAGAGCTCCATCCAAAAGTTTTTGTTGAATGAATAGAGACATGACTACTACTACATTTTCTTTATTTAAAATTTTCATTTATTTATTTTCAATTTATTTGAAAGGCAGAGACGGATGGAGAAAGATCTTCCTTCCAGTGGTTTACTCCCCAAATGTGCACAACATTCAGGGCTGGAGTAGGCCACGTGTAGTAGCCCAGAAATTCATCTGGGTCTCCCATGTGGGTGGCAGGGACACAATTACTTCAGCTATTATCTGCTGCCTCTCAGGGTGTTTGTTAACAGGAAGCTGGATCAGAAGCTGAGCACCCAGGACTGAAACACACACTCTTACATAGGATGTGAGACTCCCAAGAGTTGACTTACCAGCTTGTACCAAACACCTTCCACATGTTTTCTCTATTTCACAAATTCCCATTAAATGACATATATTGTAACTATCAAAGTAGTTTCACATGACTGGTTATAAGAAAAACATGCTCTCAAAATTCTGGAGATTTTTAAAAGGTACAAAATAACTGAAAGATACAAGGAGACTGAGGTTCTGCTTCATCAACTGCAACAACAACAACAAAGCATCTGGGTTCCAGACCTTCAGCTGTGCAATAAAGGAACTGTCAACTCTCTACTTTCAGTCCCAGTTGAGTCTATTTTGTCCTTACCCTTCCTGAGTCCACCTAATTTTTGCTTTTGGAAAATGATTTGCCAAAACTAATTCTGCCACTGTGGAATGGAGCCTGTCAAGTCTTATTCAAAGGATAGAGAAGCGAGAACCTGACTGCTTGAAATAAGAAGTTTTCTCATAGAAATTTATATTTGATGTGGGTCTTGAGTGTTAGGAATGCTGTTGTCTAGCTAAAAGAGAATGTAAACTGAGAGAATAAAAGGAACAGAGCTTAAGATTAGAGAGTAGGAAGCAGCGTTCTCTTCAGAAGTTTGCATGGCTCACTAGTCCAACCCGAGACTCAGACACAATACTGTCATCAGTTCAGTCTGGCAGATCCCCTGACTGAACTCTGATTCTGCAAAGAACCAAGTGAGGGGACACTCACCTCTGACTCTGCCCCTTCCCTCCCTGTCTGCACCCTTTCTTCCTACCACTCTTTCCTTCCCCATCATGTCTTTTTCTCCCCATCATGCTCTTCTCATCAGCCTTTTTCTTCCTGTCTTCACCTTTTCTTCATAATCTCCTTCCTTGTCGTCACTCCCTTGTTTCCCATCATTCCCTTCTGACTCTGTGTTTTTTCCCATCAAATTGTGCTCTAGATTATAATGGCACTCTTCTTATGGCAAACTCAAGTGGAAAAGACAAAGGAATGTGAAAGAGAAGAAACTAAAGTCAAAGTCTTTCTGTGAGCAGAACCCACAAAACTGTAAAATAGTAGCTTTGACTTCACCGTGACACTTGGCTGTACTAGAGATCACAAAGCCAAACAAAATTTTCTAATACTGAAAGAAAGATAAAAACAGAGTAAGTCACCTCTTCACGTATTCTACATATCTACTTTCTCTACATTCTGCCTTTCTCTCGCTCTTTTTCTATTGCCACAGTATCCAGCTGGACTTGCTTCCAGGTCCAAGACCAACAGACACCTTTTGTAGGTGACATAGAACACTAGCTCCTCTGATTCATTCATTAGAGATCTTAGCTTCCAGCCGGCGCCGTGGCTCAATAGGCTAATCCTCCACCTTGCGGCGCCGGCACACCGGGTTCTAGTCCCGGTCGGGGCGCCGGATTCTGTCCCGGTTGCCCCTCTTCCAGGCCAGCTCTCTGCTATGGCCAGGGAGTGCAGTGGAGGATGGCCCACATGCTTGGGCCCTGCACCCCATCGGAGACCAGGAAAAGCACCTGGATCCTGGCTCCTGCCATTGGATCAGCGCGGTGCGCCGGCTGCAGCGGCGGCCATTGGAGGGTGAACCAACGGCAAAGGAAGACCTTTCTCTCTCTGTCTCTCTCTCTCACTGTCCACTCTGCCTATCAAAAAAATAAAATAAAATAAAATAAAAAAAAAGAGATCTTAGCTTCCTTCCACAAATCCTTTTCGTTTACATAACTTTGTTGTGTTTCAGAAGTCACAGGATACAACCTGAAGCCATTTGCTTGTCACTCTTTTCAGTAATTGCATGTCATCAAATTAGGACTCATTCAATGCAGACATTTGAGGGGATAATTCCTTAATACTGCCAGTGAAGATTAGGAAGTGAAACACTAAGGAGAAAGAAACAAAAGAGAGAATGTAGGAGTAGGAATATACATAAGGAAAATGAAGAGACGGTTCAGTATATTTCCACAACTGGGGAGAAATCATCATTCTTGTGTACAAGTATTTATTAGTGATGTGATTGTAATTTATGTCTTTAAGTCTTACCCTCCTCACTGTCAAAGGAGGCAGTGGTAATATCTGTGCTCTCTATTGCAAAAAGGAAACATCTTTTGTAAGCGAAATGGCATATTAATGTGTTAAGTACTGATCCTCTCTCCATCACTTGTCAGAAAAGGATGCCGCCTCCTGTAGCACCTTTCTCAGAGAATACTTTACTTCCTTGTTTCTTAAGCTATAGATCAAAGGGTTCAGCATGGGAGTAACCAGGTTATTCAGTATCTGAACAGTTGCATTAAGCCAGGGATTAGGAGTGGGTTGCAGGTAGATAAGGACCACTGGCATGAAGGAGAGAAGGATGGCGGTGAGGTGGGCACTGCAGGTGGAGAAGGCACGGCGTCGGCCCTCTTTAGATTGAATTCGAAGAATTGAGGCAACAATGCAGCTGTAGGAGGTGAGAATGAGAAGGAAGCAGCTGAGGGGCATGAGGCCCACGCTGATGAACCCCACCATCTCCAGGGATGAGGTATCTGCGCAAGCCAGCTTCAGCATCACTGGGATATCACAGAAGTAATAGTCCACATCATTGGGGCCACAGTAGGGCAATTGGAAGGTGAGAGTGGTTAGAAAGGTGGCTTGAACACAGCCAAACAATGAGGTCCCAGTGGCCAGGATGGCACACACTCTGTGACTCATGATGACCGTGTATCGCAGAGGGTAACATATGGCAACAAAGCGGTCGTAGGCCATCACTGTGTACAGGAAACACTCAGTGCAGCCCAGGAAATGGTAGAAGAAGAGCTGGGACACGCAGCCTGCATAGGAGATGGTGCGGCTGTTCCCTGAGAGGTAGAACAACATCTTGGGGGAACTCACAGAAGGGAAAAATATATCGCATACAGACAGTTTGCACAGGAAGAAGTACATAGGAGTATGAAGCCGAGTGGAGGAAACAATTGCTAGTAGGATGAGCAAGTTCCCCAGAAGGGTGAAGACATAGAAGGACAAAAACAGGACAAGCAGCATGGTCTCCAGACCCTCTGTGTGTGGGATGCCCAGCAGGATAAACTCGGCCACCATCGAGACATTCCTCATTTTTGTCAGAATGTTGGACTTCAAAATAGAGCACAAGATTCCGTAATGTGAGGCCTTATGTCATACTGAGGAGCAATCTGTTGGATGTGTTGGTTTCATATTTTAGCAATCAACAGTCAACCTTCTGATGTAGGGACAGATCTATATAAAAACACAAGGACAATGCAAACTTAACTAGATTCTGGAAATTGGATTTTGACCAAACTGGATAAGGATATAAAAATCTATCTTTCGTGCACATTATAATTAACACACATTTTTCTCAAGGGAATCTGACAGAAGGTGCTTCTGTCATCAAAGAGTATGAGAGAATCTCTATTTTATTTCTATGTTTCTAAAATTCCAGATGTGCCTCAACAGTAGGACCCATTTAGGAACTATGTGATAGCTGTAAGATAAATGAAAATCTGGAGAAAAAGTTTCAGTTTTTGGAGAAAGAATTCATGCATGGAATGGTGTGTTTGTGTACAACTATGTATTTTGAGAGTGTGTATATGTCTGTAGACTAAGGAGAGAGTTGTGGAAGGGAACAAAGCCAGGCTCACTGCTCAACTGTACATGTGCAATGGACCCAAAGGCGTATCACAAAGCTTTTGAGCAATGAACTGAAATTCAAAATATCAAATAGGTCTTCTACTAACATCTGAGTGGCGCATTTGAAGGACAAAAACAGTGCAGGCTTTGGGAATTGAATTGACATTGGAAATGTTACCCACAGAAGGTAATAAAAACTACTTGTCTGATGCTAACTGAATTGACAGTTTGTTAAAGTAAACACAAACACAGACACACACATACACACACACACACACGCACACACATGTAAATAAAATCAAATTTCTCCCAGTAATTTTAACAGGATCCAAGGTCTAATATCATAACATGAAACATGTCCAGATTAAAATCTGAAATTATTCAACAAGTAACAAGAACACACAAGAAATATAATCCATTCTCAAGAGAAAAGATTCAACAGATACTAACTCTAAGAGGAGCCAGATATTGGAAATTGCCAAAAATTTTGTATCATCTACTACAACTACGTTCCATGAGGTATAGCTAAGTCCATTTGAAATGAATGGAAATATGGTAGTTTTTGGCAGAGAAATGTAAAGTTACGAAACATGAAGGAGATAGAAATTTTAGTGCTGAAAAATGTTGTTCATGCTTAGAAAAGTAGATATATTTAATACCACCTCCTGGGCATTTCTTGTGATTCAGTCACTGGTAGCTCTGAGGGAGCAATTAAAGTTAAACACATTTACCATGCAAAATACTATATCCCCTTTTTAAGTCTGCTTTCTAAAGAATGGACACTAATCCTGATCTCAATGCTTCATGTTAAGGACTATCTTTATTTTCCTATTGCTTACATGTTTAAGTCTTTTCATGTGGGACATCCTAACACCTTCACTCGGTTATATAAACGTTTCAATTACTATGTAGATATGAACAATGAGCATCATTATTTAAGAAGTTAATAATATTATACTTAGTGAAATAAGCCAGTTCCAAAAAGACAACTACCCTATGTTTCCCCTGATCTCTGGCAACTAATAGAGTACCTAAAATGTAATGTAGAGGAGTGAAATTGACATTTTGAAATTCAGTGATTGTTTACAGCCCTTGTTTCTATTTTCAGGAACAGTCTTTTTTTTTATTTCACACTATTTGATCAACACATTGCTTAGTATAGGGGTAAACTTATGAATGTAAACTGAAAATAGATCTTTGTAAAAATTAGGAGTGGGAATGGGAGAGAGAGGGGAAGAGGGTGGGAGCATGAGTGAGAGGGAGGGTAGGGTGGGAAGAATCACTGTGTAAATCCATATATATGAAATTTTTATACCTTAAATAAAATTTTAAAATAATTTAACAAATAATAAATTATTCCTTAATTGTGTCCATATTGTAAATGCATCTTAAAAGTATCATTAATAAACTATGTTCATTAAAAGAAAGATTATAAATTGGCTAAGTAGCAAGACACCCCATGTGGAAATGATTTAATACAAATAATAGTTCATATTGACTGAATATATGCAAGGTACTATAAAAAAATTTAGAGTCTCTTTTTTTTTTAACCAGGTCTCAGAAAAATCTTGCTAATTAGGAGAGGAAACTCAGGCAGAAAGTGATTTAATAACTTGATCATACATCTGCAAAAAGACTGAGCTATGATTCCAATCCAGTTCTGATTCCAGGAACAATAATTCTAACACTTCTTCTGTAAGAGCACCATAGCAATTTTGTTTGGAGAGGCAAAGACATCATACCCAGTTTCCAATACTTGAAAAGCTATTATGTGGATTTGTTGTGTGCTTTTCCATGGTTAATGACCAGTGAAAAGTTGTGGGAGATAATTTTTTAAGAAACAGTTTTATATCAGTATAGGAAAAAATTTCTATGAGGTAAATTACCTTGCGAAGATTTCACAATGATACAGATATCTTTAAAACAATAAAAAATCATGACTATAGCTATAGTAACCACAATAATGGCAATTTGATACCATTTTTAATATTTTTCTTAAAAAAGAGAGGTGTATAGCATAGAGAAGTCCAGAATGTTGCTGAAGGAAACTGCCTTAGGATGGTAGGAACTTGTTGGGATGCTTCTATATAAAGTTCATAGTTAAGGAACATATATAAAAAATTAAGTTATATTGAAAAATATGTCTAGATATTGAATGCTTTATGTACACTAATTCTTTTAATTCTCACTACAGCTCCATGAGACAAGTAGTCTTACTTTCCATTTTACATTGGGCCGGCAGTGTGGCGCAGTGGGTTAACACCCTGGCCTGAAGTGCTGGCATCCCATTTGGGTGCCTGTTCGAGTCCCAGCTGTTCCTCTTCCAATCCAGCTCTCTGCTATGGCCTGAGAAAGCAGTAGAAGATGGCCCAAGTCCTTGGGCCCCTGCAACCACTTGGGAGACCCAGAAGATCCTGGCTCCTGGCTTCAGATTGGCACAGCTCTGGCCATTGTGGTCAATTGGGGAGTGAACCAAAATGGAAGATCTCTCTTTCTCTCTATCTGCCTCTCCTCTCTGTGTGTAACTCTGATTTTCAGATAATTAAACAAATCTTTAAAAAAATAAAATTGAAAAAGAGAGGTGTATAGCATAGAGAAGTCCAGAATGTTGCTGAAGGAAACTGCCTTAGGATGGTAGGAGCTTGTTGGGAGCTTTTATATAAAGTTCATAGTTAAGGAACATATATAAAAAATTGAGTTATATTGAAAAGTATGTTCAGATATTGAATGATTTATGTACACTAATTCTTTTAGTTCTTACTACAGCTCCATATTTTCCATTTTACATTAGAAAACTAAGGCATTGTGGCTTAGAGGGCTTATCTGCCACTTTGGATGCCTATATCCACAGCATAGTGTTCAGGGTCAAGTCCCATCTCAGCATCCAATTAGGCTCCTGTTAACATGCTTGAGAGGCAGCAGATGATGGCCCAGGTACTTAGGTTCCTGTCACCTATGTGGGAGACCTAGATGGAGTTGCTGGTTCCTGGCTTTGACCTGGCCCAGCTTTGGTTCTTGTAGGCATTTGGAGAGTGAATCAGAGAAGGTTAGATTCTGTCACTCTCTCTCTCTCTCCCACTCTCTGTCACTCTACCTTTCAAATAACTCATAAAAATCAATCAATAAATAAAAAGTTTATAAAAGGAAACTAAGGCACAAAAATTTAAGTCAACTGATCGAATTCTTATACATCTTAGTGGTTGGAATTGGGTCCCAAACATAGAAAAGTAGGAGTGCTTTTCTGGTTAGTTATTAATTCTAACTCTTAGTACTTATAAATAATGTTGCATCAAATAATTTTTATAATGCCTTATTCTTATAATGGACTTTTGTGCTATTGTAATTCTCACAAAATCCTTATAGAATTATACTTACTGCCTCCATATTTCAGATGTGTATGCTGAAACTTAGAGTATTAAAAACTCCTTAAACAGTATAGTGAAAATGAAGTCATACCCAAATCTCCTGACTCCAAACTCAGCTTTCTTTACACTTCACTTTCACAGCTACCAAAACTTCTTCACACATGAAGGAATTATTCCTATGTGAGGGAAAAATCACTTTCTCCAGATTTGGGGAAGTCTTTCTGGCACCATCACAGCCAAATAACTGTCTTTATTTTCTGTTTACTGAACAGTTTATGGCACCAAATTGTAACTCAAGAAAGGGAAGCAAATCTCCCAAGATCATATTACATTGGATTCAATAGGTCCCAGAGCCACAGAGTAATTTCACAGCATGAAGGTGATTCCCAAGAGCATATCTCAGAGTATGGTGTAATGTGAAGGAAAATTTCCATCATACCTGCTTCACTCAGAAATGGAAGCCTGGACCCTTGTTTAATTTCAGATTTAGAGTTCTGACATTCATCAAGCTTGTAGACCAACATGGCTAGACCAAAACTTCACACCAAGTGATAGATTCCACTTCTTTAAAGGGAAGGTGAAATTGTATTCCTTTAAGTCCATGTATGAGTATTTTTAGTAACATAAAAGCATTCATATAAAAATAGCTTTTCACAGACTACTTGTGCCTGTGTTGGTAGAGGACTGGAATAATAAATGATCATTTTCCTAAAGAAATCAAAGAGGAAAAGAGGTAAGCATGACCCTTAGAACTCCAATAGCAAACATGAAAGAATGGAATGTAAGTCAAGGTGGAAAGATAATTTTTACAAGATTCAGTAGATCCATAGGAAAATACTCCAAAAGCTTAGATTTAGATTAAGTGCTTAATTTAGGTATTGTGGTTGGTGGTAGATTTCCAAGTCATTCTGCATAAAGAAAGACCCTTTTAGATGCTGGACTCATACCCTGGTTCTCCTTTACTTGGGTTAATAAAGAATCTCTGAATAACAAAAAGAAGACCGAGACTGATTGGACATGATCATCTTAGGAGATACTATTTCATTCTGGATGCAATTTATAGTAGTTAAATGCAATATCTATTGCACAGTTCAGAAAAAA